TATCAAAGTCTATTGTTACGTGTCTGGTCGTTTGTTAATTTCCCGTATAATTTCTTTCGGATTAAACTTTAGCGATACAAGTCCTTTCTTAAAGAAAACTAGTTTATTCTTTCTCAATACAACTTTGCAATACACTTAATTTCCACAGCCACTTTAACTTAAACACACGCTATAATTCACAACGATTCACGCTTTTTACTTACGGTCACTACCGCGCTTGACTAAATTGTCTGTCTCTGCCTGTCTGCAATTATCTATGCCGTCACTTTATTTGCCGGCTTATATACTAAAATCGAGAATGCGTAGTAAAGACTAGAGTTGTTGGGAACAGTCATGATCCTTCTAGAAACCCATGACGTGTTACCAGCGTCACGTGACTACCGCTGTCGTAACACTGCCCCTTCCTTGGTATTGTTCATCCCGAACAATAGCCACTTACATTAAACCAATAGATAATTAACAATAACTTAACTAAAAGTACAGAATTTACAAACACAAAATATTTTCAAGTCTTGTATATCCAAGATAGTTATTTACAAATATTGTCGAGAAATTCGTAGTTTAGTTCATGAGAACCCATGAGCTGGACATTTAGAAAATTACCTCTCATTTTCATTGGTCAAAAATTTGCTGGCATGTGTCTCAGTATTTTTGTGTGTGTTTCAATTGTCAGATGGTGGGTTAGCCAAATGAAAATATCTCAAAAGCACCATTGAGGCCTATTCCAGCATTTGAGGAACACGTTAGCTATGAATTATTGTTTGTATTGGACCCTTACCGAAAATGAAGTTGGGTAATCAATATTTGTTGACTATTATAAGTACTTCCACTAGGTACCCAGAGGCAATACCACCTCAGAGAATCAAATTACTGCTAGCCATTGTGAAAGCTTTGATAAAATTCCTTACTCTTGTAGGTTTACTTAGGAATGTTCAGTTTGATCAAGGATCTAACTTTATGTTCGAAATTTTACAATAAGTAATACATGAGCTTAACATCAAACAATATAAATTGAGCACATACCATCCTCAGTCCCAAGAAGCATCAGCTCTATTGTCAGGAGAATGAGAAAGATTGGAATGATGGGTTCCATTTGTTGTTGTTTGCAGTCAAAGAGTCACTAGGCTGAGATTCAATATATGCTCGGAAACGGAATTAATGGACCGAGTCAAAATGAATGGAGTACTCCCAGTATACTACGATTCAAGCCTGACAATAGTTCTCGTTTCTGTACAGACTTTTTGGAAAGTTAACGTGGTGACAAAAATCACATGATACTTAATTCTTAGGACTGATGTTTGTATTGATAAAATTGGTCATTCAAAAATAGTCAGTGAATTTGACGTATTGAAAGGATATTGGCAGGCGTCTCTCACTGAAAGGACGAAACAGGTATCAGTCTTCCTTACTCCTCTTGTTCTTTGGTAGTATCATGTAATGCTGTTTGGAATTTAAAATGCTTCTGCCACCTTTCGACATTTAATGAATGATATCAATAATGGATTTGAGGGTTTTCACCATGTATATCAGTGATATGGTAGTATATATAGTAGCACTTGGGAGAATTATGTACATTGCCTCCATGCATTATTTGGTAGGCTATCGAAAGTGAATTTAATAATCAAATGAATGAAAAGTAAGGTGGAGTCAGTAGATTCAAAGGTTGAAACTGTAGTCAGGTTTCCTGTACCCAACAACAAGAAGGAATTTATGCTTTTCCTTGGCATGGCCGAATATTACAAAAAAATGTCAGAATTGTTTAAACGTAGTCTTACCCCTTACGACACTGTTTGGTGAAGAAGTGGAGTTTTTTTGGTTGGAGATTTTCAAAGAGCGTTTGATAAAGTCGACGCCTCTAAATTTTTTTAAAAGTATTTCTTAGCTCTAATAATGTTCTGACAGTTGTTTACAAAGATTACGATACACTAACGTTTGTGAACAAAACAAAAACAAACATCAAAGATTATTATAGTAGAGTTTGGCTATTCAAGAGCGTAATTTAGATATAAGATATATTAACGGCCTGCAACAGCATCAGCCAGCTTGGCAGATTTAGGTTTAATTTAGTTCTAAATTCACTTACAAAACTAGTATTATTATTCAAATTTATTTTAAGCACTATAACCTACAAAGCAAATAACAGTAGTTTTAAGAAAAAATGAACGTATTCACTCAATAAAATAAAATATCAGTTGTTCGATAATTTACTCTGTTATTGAAAGTTGTGTTTGTTTGTTTGAAGTTAAGCACAAAGCTACACAATGAGTTATCGGTGCTCTGCCCACCACGGGTATCCAAACCCGGTTTCTAGCGTTGTAAGTCCGCAGAAATATCTCTGTGCCATTGGGGGGGGGGGCAAAGTTGTGACACACGAAAACTGTTTCTCTAGATTTCTTCGCAGTGGAAGCCTTTTTTTTCACGGCGAGTTCTGATGTCTACAGTACTTATTAATTTGATTGAATTCAAAATAGGGATTTTTAGCTTGAAAAAATAATGTAGACACTATTTCCATCCTTGTTTGTTTACTTTTTTAGAGTCCCTAGTTGTAGGCCTGAAAATATAATATTTGCATTTTGATTCATCTTGTTTCTGTACTTTCTCGTGATCCATATTCTCCCTGTTTAAATTAATAAATTTTACTAATCTTGTTTCTTAAGTTTTTTATCTCCATTTATGGAGAATACATTTTAAGCTACACACGTGTATACACGTTCAGTTGAATGTTACACATCTTTCAATAGTTTACTGCTGCATTGGCTATATTGCCACCCAATCACCACACTGAAGTTATCCAAGATAAATAATAAAAGTACAACAAATAATAAACATATGTTCTGGTATGCAAATACAACAAACAAAATGTGAAGTTGTTCTCAAAGGACCATCTTGAAGGCAAAGATTGTATCATCACAGATTTAATGATCAGTTTCCATCAGTATCACAGTGTTTTGTAACAAAAGACGAGGAGCAACAAAGCAATATCGTCAAAACGGAATAATGTTTCTTCTAAGATAATACAACACAGATTAATGCAATATTAAAAGATGCATTAACATGCTTACCTTTTCAAATCTACATGACACATTTATGTTCTTCAACAGCTTGCTGTGCACAAGTGTTTGCTGAAATAAGTCAAACAAATCATTCATGCAAAATAGACAACAGTGACATAATTTTTTTTGTGAATCCTATTTGTAGATTTTAAATTCTCAATATTTAAATCATATTTTTATTGGCTTTTTAATGCACAGCAATGGGCAAATATATATATACCTAAAATAAGACATAACCTACACTAAGGGTCTATAAAATTTTACCAGTAGAAAAGCAGCCTTCTCAAATAAAATGAATGCGTCTAAAGCATAGCTTTAAATATAGCTCTCTGTCTTTTAAAATAATGATTAACTGGGCCAGGTAATTTTGTGCCTGTGGTTTCGTGTAAACGAGTTTAAAACGCATCGAGTACAAAATCAGTAGCTCAGAACAAGATCGCATCTATTATGCATTTATAACCACGTAAATCAACTTTTAAGTAGGTCGTGGACATTCGCAGCGCTTGATATAGTATATCTGTCTAGGTTCTGGTGCAAAATATTCAGCCGATTTTGCTGTAGGTTTGTGAAACAACAACATTAATAATATTGTTGCGTCAGCGAGGTCACGTGACTAGTGTCACGCCACGTTTCTAGAACTACCTTGTTCCTTCGTGAATGCCCTAGCATTTACTAGATATATGTTTGTCTGGTATATATATAAGACGCTCACAACGGGACAACAATGTGTGTAGGTAGTGAGTAATTGATCTGCAGTGAGAAAGTATTGTTGAAGTTAACGTTCGTTATAGCGTTTGTTTTAGCGCGAATGTTGAAATCAAGTATATCGTGAAGTTATATTCAGAAAGAATAAACCAGTTTTATTAAGTAAGGACTTGTGTCGCTAAAGTTTCGTCGGAACGAAGTTACGGAAAGTTAATTAAGAAACGGAGACGTAACAATATGAACAAATGGGCAAATATTGATTTTCTCTACAATCGTAAAATCACTTATTTTGCTTATTATCAATGCTCGGGTAACTTATTATTGAAAATGAAGGTTTTGAGCGTTGCTTTAAGAATAAGTCTGCTTTTTAAGGTGGTTTTTTCCCGAATGTTCCATTAGAGTCGGAGAAAGTTTCTTTGCGATCCCTAATATGAACCACTATCATGATTCATGAGAAACAATACCACTTAAGTATCCGTATTATTAATTTAAATAAATACAGGGATTAGTAAAAAGAACAACTTATAATTCTGAAAAAGCACAATATTCCAAAATTAAAAATCTTCAAGATCAATAACAATATCGAGAAACAATGAGCAAGATTTGTTTTAACCCTGTCTTATGAACTTAGTAACTTTGAGGTCAAATGCAAGGTATTTAGTTCAGTGGTTAGACCACGAGGTGATAAACACGTTATTAGCTAATGTACATAATCTTTCACAGCATTAATATCTGTACGTCACCGCTAGGGGAAGCTTGTATGAATTTTACAAAACAAATATACTCAAATTCAACGTGGTCTAGGCATAATGTAGAACTTAAGAAGTTTGTTAGCGCTTTAATGTAATTAAAAATGCATTGTTGAACTAAACGTAGAAAGAATAATGAATAAACTGTATACAAAATTACAACAAAATAATAACAGAATACTCTATCTCACAAATTTGTGTGAAGAAAACCTACCGTGCATATTTGTGTAACTTGTAAGTACAAATATGTTGTTGAAATTTTATTTTATTTTATTTTTAAGTATAAAGGCCATGGAGAGTGTAGAAAGAATGAAGCTGTCAACAATTCAACTCCTGAACGGCTTGAAGTATTTGTTCTCCTGAAGAAGAATAGTCAACTATTCGAAAGCGCTCGAGTTTTGGGTCTTATTTTAAGTTTATTACACTTTATATGTGATCCTTTGTGCTAACTCTTTTATCAAGATCGGTAGTTCCAGTGTTGTCACGTTTTTGTGTAATTTTGTATATGAGGTGTATCAAGTTAGTAGAGTAAAAACCTGTTCCCTAGTTATTACATACATATTTCAACTACATGGAAAATGTTGATAAAGGTTATCTTGGTCTCTTGCTACACAACTTGTTTCAAAATCAGTTTATATTAGGTTATGTCACCATTTTAGTATACAGAAGTGAAAAGATAAAGTTTATAATTTGATAAGAAAGTTATCAAGATAATGTTAATTTTGATATTAGTATATGTTGAAGACTAACCTTTTTGAATAATGTGACTTCTAGTTCTGATTCTTAACTTATATTTCTGTAGTCTAACTGCAAGGTCTGATAAGAATATAAAGGTGAAGCTTCTAAAGTTTATATAATCATGGAAGTATTAAACTTAAAGACGAAGATTGAACCCATTTCTGATGAGGAGCAGGATGCCTTGTTGGACATCAAATTGATGAAGAAGGAAGATGAAATTTTCACAATAATTAGTAGTAAGTGTATATATTTAGAATTTAAATGTTTTGTCTTCTTCTCAACCAAGTATTGTGAATTTTAGTTTATTTAATTTAGCATTGCACCTGAAATTTCCATCATTGATTGCAAATTTCATACTTTTTACAGGATTTCATTCCATATCCAAGGGATTTATATTAATAATTAAAATTTTAGGCTGCATTCTTTTAATTATTTTTTTCTTTGTCAGAAACATGAATGCAGTGACACTTTAATAATGTTATTGTCTATTATAACCTATGAATGAGGTAAAACCTGAGTACTGAACAATTTTCCATGTATCTGTTTCCTTGTGACTCATTAATTGTTTGAAAGCTTCTCCTTCTCTAATTGATACCTGATTCCCTGTTCTTTTTCATGACAAAATATACAGTTAGTTTCTGCCAGCAGAGTCTTACACAGAACTATAGTGACAGCAGTCATGGGAAGGGGACATATGATGGGATAGGCAGTACTCTAAAGAACAGCTGATCAGTTGGCAGCTGAAGGGTAGCTTCTATGGGCATTAGGAAATTATAATAATTTACAGTTGCTATATAACTCAAATGCGTAAAATATGTTCACTCTAATTTTTACAAACCACGTGCAGAATGAATTTTTTTCATGTGCACCAGTATCAAAGCAAAGGGTGCTATGATTTTTGTTTGGGGGGGGGAGATGTTTAAACCATCAACCCCATTGAATCATTAGGCTGCTTTGCAATGCTATCAGTTAGTTATTTGGACTTTAGGCCTATCAACTGCCAGGGTTATTAAGGCCGTCAACATGTTGACTCCTCACCATTATTGAGGATGTGTGGAACTAGAATAATTAAGAGTGTGGCATTTGATTTGTTGTTGTGTGGCTGCGCAGCTTAGAGGGAACTCTGCCCCCCAACACCCTAGATCTAACACCTCTGGTACCTGAGCTTTCCATCTGTTGCAATTGACTTCTGTAGAACTATGTTTAAGGTTGAATTGGGTTCAACTGAGAAAGAATAAATGCTTCAATGGTGCAAGAAAACTTGTATCCTTTCTTTTCCAATGGTGTCATGACATTATTGGTCTTTCTCTCACAGAATTTGTTGGCTGTGAGATAAAGCTATCATTGACTTGTCCAGCATAGGACGTTGCAGTTGTTGTCTCTTTTCAACATGGACATACCACATAATCATATCTAATAGAGTAGATTCTATACATTATATAGAACAAGACAACTTCAGTGTTTTTCTGGACTGTGTGCTTTTGCCAAAACTAGGTAGAAAGATAATACTAAATGGGAGAAAAAAAATGTTATATTTATAAAAACAGGTAATAAGTACATATGGTTACATATCAAAAAGGGAATGGTCATATATTAAATAATTCTATCTTAAAATATTTCTTGCTTTCCACTAATATTAGAGACATTGCTTATTCTTTCAGAAATTCATACTCATTTTTTTCAGTTTGTGTTCATTGCACTAAATGTATTTTGTGCATGTTTTGCATGTGAAGTCAAATTTGTAGCCACAATTTACCTATAATATTTTTTTTTCAAAGTAAAACATCTTGAATCCAGTAAGGTAGAAGTGGGTAGAGACACTGATGGGTGTGCTTCAACTTCCAAGTCTACTTCATAGACATCCTCATATTTCACTTTCTTGTATGAAAAGGCAACAGTTGAAGTAATAGCTAATTTTTTTTTGAACAAGCTTATTTTTGATAGCATTTTAACTGTAAAACTTTAAGTTTAGCCTAATCATAGTTGAATTCAGCATCATTTTTGGAGAGATAATGTAAAAGGAGGTTATTTACTATCAGAGTTGTGCAGTATGTGAAGGTGCCCAATATGTTAATAGGCATATCTCGCTCCAGGTATTCTATGGAAAAACCTGAGCAATATAAAGTTCAACATTCTTGAAGCTTCTTAACTCCATAAAACCTGATGAGCCTTTCTTCCTTCTTTTAAAACCAGGAATATTTCTTATCCATACTGATAATCTCCTTGCACACAATGGATATTTCAGTGTTTGTTCTTTCCTTTAACTTTTCCACTCAGACCTCATAGTTATCTCTGTCCTTCCCTTCAGCTGCCAACTGATCTGCTGTTCTTTAGAGTACTGCCAATCCCATCATATGTCCCCTTCCCATGACTGCTGTCATTATAGTTCCATGTAGGACTGCTGGTAGAAACTAACTGAATATTTTATAAAGAAAAAGAACATTATCTTAGTTCTGTATTAGTGGAAACACCATGCTGTATAAAATGGAGACTACTCAAACTAGAGTTGAGTATTTAATAATATTTGTTAATTGATTAGTCAGTGGCCCCAGTAATTGGGTTCTGCCAGATTCTTACCTTATGTTTAGTCAGTATTTTAAAAATTAACAAAAACTTGACATTTGACTTCTCTGTCAGCAGTTTAAAAATAAATTATTAACAAAAATTGTTAGTTGGAGTTGCCACAGATGCCTTCTTTTTAGTCAGCATTAAGAAATAGCGGTAGTGGCAGATAACCCTAGTAACAAAAATGGTGGGCAAGTTTTGGGCCAATAGGAATCAAACTTGAGAGCTTCGAATCATGAGAATCACTCTTCCCCCAGTGAAAAAAATATCTAATCTGAACAAACTAGGAATAAAAAACAGATAACCCATTTTGTAGTTTTTTTGTTTAACAACAATCAAACATTTTATTAGTGAATTTTTTTACCTCTGAAAAACATAGTTCATTGAAGAAAAATTAATATAGAGACCTACTCTTTTCTTCTGTTTCTTTTACTTCTGCTACACCAATGATGTTTTATAAAACTCACAGTTCATCAGTATGTTTTCCTTAATCTAAAATAAATGAAATAATAGCCTAACATGCAAGAGTTGTCAGGATGTAAAATGGCTGCCTCCAACTTTCTTATATTTCATAAAAGTGGTTAACAAAACAACTTAATGGATTCTTTAGCTGTTAAAAGTAGAACCTACAAAGGTGATATCAAAACCAGAAACATCAGTTTAACATTAGAAATAGATAAATCATTTAATCTTAAGAGATTTATTTGAGGGCAGTTTTAAAAAATTATAGTACATAGAATTACATAAGGAAAAAAATGATTTATATTGATGCAGTTAATAACTACTGCTAAGAACATTTTTGACAAGTGTATCTTAAAAGCTACAAAATGAGTGGTTACATGAATTGCCCCTATATTTGAAACTGGAGAACTACCAATATAGTACTAAGAACTTTCTACTGTCATACTTGCTACCTCACCAACTCCGTTCAAATCATTCGCATTCCAGCAAAGGCTACTTTTTATGACAGTTTTACAGTGTTTCAGGGCATGACAAGTACTTTCATAACAACCTAGCCCATTTTTGTGATTTGGAGTAGTCTGATGAAAATCAATGAACCTTCAGAATGTACTTTACTAGTTATATAAGTTTGAGTTTGCTGTATTACTGTGCTGCTGTTGACAAATAATTCAATATTATGGAATGAAAATTTTAACATACTGCATAAATTCAACAATTGCAAATCCTAGTTTTGTATTACATTGTATGATTTCTTCAAGCCATGTTGAATCTCTAATAATTAATCTCTCACAATGGTTGAAAAAATAAAATCTACATTGTCTCTCTCTCTCTCTTGTAACGTGAGATTCTGTGTTTAGGCAGTTTTGGGTAACCATGTATGAATCTTTTATAATTGTTGTTGATGTTATTCCATCCTCTGTGCTAGTATTCCATTAGAGAGTGATGCTTTCTGGAGGTGAATAGAGGATATTGGTTGGTTTCCCACCTGAGTGTGCACATCCATGCATGGCATTTTTAGACATTAGAGACATGACATGCATCTATTCTGCAATGGATGTCTCATATTTCCAATCAAGATAAGGGTGTAGCATACTGCTTAATTTTCACATTCTTTTACTTCCTTAGTCAGTGTTCCCATTGCAATGACCGATTCTTTTGATTCTTTTCCTGACTGCCTGCTGACTCGATTGCTTGCATGAATTTGTTAAACTTGTCAGATGAGTATTTTAAGTCCAGAAGTGTATCTACTCTTCATAAGAACTTTCTGCTACAAGATTTAGGAATGTGCTTTGCTCTCGTACCCTGACTACCTAATTAACCACTATTTTGTACTACAACTAACAGTGTGCGTGGCAGTCCGGGTACATATAAATGCATTGTATGGATTTTGATTATGATTTAGTGAAGTATAAGTTATATTGAGTCTTGTTATAGACAAACTTACATTATTTGTATTTATAGATACAGGG